AATAATAAGAGTGAGTGAGTTAAAATTTCAAATTTAACGACAAATTATAAGAACTTAAAAAGAAAGAAAAGTATTAAAATGAATAGGTGACCTTTTGTTGAGTGAGATATTTAATCATCTTTAATATTATATTCCTCTCTAAAGCAAAATAATACATAATCTCTGTTTTTATAATACACAGTCTATGTATATATACTCTTTAAAAAAAGCAGGGGAACTTCATTTTTAATTGACGATTGAAAAAAATTGGGAGATAAATCGGAGTCAATCAATGTTGATATGATAATAATGAATGTTTTGAGAGTGCATCACCACTTGCACTTCCTTATGACCATAGTTGTTTGTACAGTAATCGTTCTTGAAAGATGATTGGTGTATGACGTGAAATTTGCATGTGTACGATTTTCGTTTTTAAGCGAAAAAAACTGCAAGAAACAAACACTAACAACTGTGTAATTCAAGATGATTGTCAAAATTAATGGTATGCAGTGATTTATCGACCATCCTGAAAACCGTCAAACTCAAGGATGACACCCATGCACGTGTATGGGGCTACTGCGTTGTGCACGTGCATACCATACATTGTGTTTAGGGGTGGTGATAAGGAGAAATGGTGGTGCGTTCATGAGATGTCTGTCTTTACATTTTTTTAACGCTTATACTTTCCTATCCAAATTGAAAGTCCAGGTTCCCCTACTTTTTTTAAGAGTATATATTATATAACAGCTATTGGGTATTGTTTTGCTTTACAGAGGGATATAACGTTGATGGAGTACTAAGTACATTGTATATCACACAACAAAAGGTCACCTATTCATCTATATATGTTGTATGACCTCTGTCTGCCCTAACGAGTGGACCCGTGAAGACCCAGGTTAGAATTTATCTTCAGTAACCATGCATGTCGTAAGAGGCGACTAACGGGATCGAGTGGTCAGGCTCACTGACTTGGTTGACACATGTCATCGGTTCCCAATTGCGTAGATCGATGCTGATGCTGTTGATCACTGGAGTGTCGCCATACAGCTGGATTAATGCTGAGTGCGGCGTAAAACTAAACTCACTCACTCCTACCGAGTGTTGCTTTCGTCTGATACGTACATCTGGAAAACTCAAACACCACTTACTATTTTATTATTATATTTCTATATTAAAAAGACATAAAGAAATCGGCTCCGTACTTTCTAGCGAAATACATTTGCAATTGTCCATAATTTGATTCGCTCATACAGAGATCGTAATCAATGACTAAACGTTATCTAATAAGATCTAACTGTTCCGTGACTAGTTATCTGAGCGTTCTCTCAAGTGCTTTTTTCTGTACTGGGAAGAGAAAGATGAATCGATCTGGAATCCACTAAGTGTTCCATTATAACCAGGTCGTGGTGGAATCTTAGATACGTATTGTATAAAATCAGTGTCATAAGCTGCCAAAAGAGTGAGTAAGTGAGTTGGGTTTTACGTTGCGTTTGGCATTTTCCATATGTATCACGTATATAATTTATTTGTAACATCGAATTTTAATGTACAAAACTTTTCTTCGCCCGCCAGCAAATATCTCCCACTGTTACACCGACGATCAGGTTAAACGAAAGTAAGGAATTATCGATGCCAGTTTCTTGCCTGGTTACATGGAAATATGATATATACATGTAAATTTATATCGCTTTGAACTTTCAAGAGCGAGATAGAAGTAAGATGAGAGAGTGTTTTACTATATAGAAAAATATTTTATTCCCGCCATTAATTCCCAGCGGTAATAATAATTACAGATACGAACTATGGAGAATGTCAAATGTCGTATTATGTGCAGAACTTATATTCCTGTTCAAGGCTAGAAATTGGCTAGAAGATTGATAGTACCTATTTACACTTTAACTGACGGAACCAGTTCGTTCTTGCAGTCGACACAGGCGAGCCAGTAACATCGTTCTATGCCACTTTTAGTATTATCCCAAGAATACGGGATCGGACATCATTGATGCAAATATTTGTATATAATCGATGCTCATTATGTCAATCACTCGATTGTTTGCAATGAATCGATTATTTACAGGCCGCCGTCAAAACAAAACAACAAAACCTTCAACAAGGAGACAACACTGTTGTAACAGTGTTAGGTGAGGTGAGGTGAAATGGGGGTTTAACGTCGTGTTTTTGATTATTTCGCTCATATGACGATGTGCATGCGTGTGTATGTGTGGCTTCTTATACTAGCCCAGAATTAAGCTGGTTTTATGGTGCTAGCTCATTGAGATACCATGCCGCAGTTTAGCATGAATACCCCACTCAAACACAGTATACTGACTTCGAGCCGACCAGTCCTTGTACACATAAATGCCGAGCGCCAGGCAGGGACCAACAAGTACCATATCTTAACCTCTTTTCGTATGACGCGGCCGGGGAAGCTAACGAGGGAAGTTATCACATTTTACTTGCATTATCAATGTTGTTGTTATTCTGTTTAATATTAAGGAAACAATATACATTAATGTATGACATTAAGGTGCTAATGTCACAAAATTCCTATGTTTGTTTATGAGTAAGATAAGTTAATAAATGCAATACCTGTCAAGTACTTGTGCTATAGGCCTGAGGCGCTATGTATTACAAAAATGGTTGACTGAAAGAATAAGTACTACCGACAAAAATACAGTCCTGTGGGGTTCAGCGGACTGCAAAAAATCGACCCGGCCTCATACACAGGTGAAACTGCGAAGGGTTGACAAAACTACGGTACACTGATAATATTCCAGCAAATACGTACAAGATGCATGTCAAATTATGTTAGCAAGTTGCACTTACCAAGATACTGCATGTATTGCATAGAGAAAAAGGGTATTGAAATCACTAAGTATATACTGGTGTTCAAAATTGTTCCCAGTTCAGTCTGTCTGCAAGATCGATCCAAGAGACTAAATTAAACAGAAGCCCTACACAAGCCTAGAATGACTTGGCAAGTCTAGAAATAAAAGGTTGTTCTGGATTCCACAGAAATAAAGGTTTGGCCTGTTTCCATTGAATTTTTGTCGATCAAAATTATTATATTCTTTCAAATAAGAAAACTGTATTTTGGGACTTAATGTCTATCCCAAATTCTAAGCAACACTTATCGTTTTGACGTCAAAGACCTGACCACCCTAGCGTTAACTGTTATACGTGTGCTTTTCCATAGCGATAATGTCTCCATTAACATAGTATTAAGTGATAATGACCCTTTTCCGTAATACATACGTTGCCAAAGCGATGTTACATGAAAGGCGAAGAAAACAAATGGTTTTAGGGCAAATAGCGTCTGGATGTACACGGTGTTGTTCCGAAATAGATTCTTACGCTGCTGTGTTACATAACTACGCGTGGAGAAGTGGCACTGGAACACAGAAAGTAGGGCACTGGTGCCAAGGCAATGTCAGAATAACCTATATCCTTGACAACTTAATCCCATGACCTGGACAAGCACTTCTAGTATTTATTCCTCAAAGGAGGAGCATTATCGTAATGGACTATGTACATCTTCTTAATCCCATTTGGCTCTCAAACAAATGTCCCGCGTGTGGGGTTGGCATTGTGTAGGGGCAAGGACGAACTGAGCTATTATTCGTTTCGGTGACGAGAATGGTTGGGCGTCGGGGGTGATGGCGTCTATAGTTTGCATCTGGGGTTGTTTGTTTTGGAGAAGTCCCAAATAAAACGTGATAGAGGGATGGTAGATTGGTGGGCTCAAGAAGGTGTGCATCCATGTTTGAAGATGGTAAAAAAGAAACAAATCAGAAGGTGATGTTGAGGTGTTGGTGATGTTGATGGTGTTGGTGATGTTGATGTTGATTGTGATGGTGATGGTGATGGAGATTATGATTGTGATGGCCATGGTGATGATGGTGATCGTGTTGGTGATGGTGATGGTGATGTTAATGACGATGGTGATGGGGATGTTAAAGGTGATGTTGATGTTGATGGTGATGATGATCGTGATGGTGACGTTAATGGTGATGGTGATCGTGATCGTGATGGTGATGGTGATGTTAAAGCTGATGTTGATGGTGATGGTGATCGTGATGGTGATGGTTATGTTAATGGTGATGGTGATCGTGATGGGGATGGGGATGGGGATGTTAATGGTGATGGGGATGTTAAAGGTGATGCTGATGGTGATGGGGATGTTAAAGGTGATGATCGTGATGGTGATGGGGATGTTAAAGGTGATGGTGATGGGGATGTTAATGGTGATGGTGATGGGGATGTTAAAGGTGATGATCGTGATGGTGATGGGGATGTTAAAGGTGATGGTGATGGGGATGTTAATGGGAATGTTAAAGGTGATGGTGATGGGGAGGGTGATCGTAAAGGTGATGCTGATGCTGATGGTGATGGTGATGATGATCGTGATGGTGTTGGTGATGCTGATGGTGATGGTGATGGGGATGTTAATGCTGATGGTGATGGGGATAGGAATGTTAATGCTGATGGTGATGGTGATGTTAATGGTGATGGTGATGGGGATGTTAAAGGTGATGGTGATGGGGATGGTGATCATGAAGGTGATGCTGATGGTGACGGTGATGGTGGTGGTGATGGTGATGGTGATGGTGATGATGATCGTGATGGTGTTGGTGATGCTGATTGGTATGTTAAAGGTGATGTCGATGTTGATGGTGATCGTGATGGTGATGTGATGGTGATGTTAATGGTGATGTTGATGTTGATGTTGATTTTGATGGTGATGGTGATGATGATCTTGATGGTGATGGTTATGTTAATTGTGATGGTGATCGTGATGGTGATGGTGATGGTGATGGGGATGTTAAAGGTGATGCTGATGCTGATGTTGATGGGGATGTTAAAGGTGATGCTGATGGTGAAGGGGATGTTAAAGGTGATGATCGTGATGGGAATGGGGATGTTAAAGGTGATGGGGATGGTGATGGGGATGTTAATGGTGATGGTGATGGTGATGTTAAAGGTGATGATGATCGTGATGGTGTTGGTGATGCTGATGGTGATGGTGATGGGGATGTTAAAGGTGATGGTGATGGTGATGGTGATGATGATCGTGATGGTGATGGTGATGGGGATGTTAAAGGTGATGCTGATGGTGATGTTGATGGGGATGTTAAAGGTGATGCTGATGGTGAAGGGGATGTTAAAGGTGATGATCGTGATGGGAATGGGGATGTTAAAGGTGATGGTGATGGTGATGGGGATGTTAATGGTGATGGTGATGTTAAAGGTGATGATGATCTTGATGGTGATGGTTATGTTAATGGTGATGGTGATCGTGATGGTGATTGGGATGGTGATGGGGATGTTAAAGGTGATGCTGATGGTGATGTTGATGGGGATGTTAAATGTGATGCTGATGGTGAAGGGGATGTTAAAGGTGATGATCGTGATGGGAATGGGGATGTTAAAGGTGATGGGGATGGTGATGGGGATGTTAATGGTGATGGTGATGGTGAGGTTAAAGGTGATGCTGATCGTGATGGTGTTGGTGATGCTGATGGTGATGGGGATGTTAAAGGTGATGGTGATGGTGATGGTGATGATGATCGTGATGGTGTTGGTGATGCTGATGGTGAAGGGGATGTTAAAGGTGATGATCGTGATGGGGATGGGGATGTTAAAGGTGATGCTGATGGTGATGGGGATGTTAATGGTGATGGTGATGTTAAAGGTGATGATGATCGTGATGTTGATGTTGATGGTGATGGTGATCGTGATGGTGATGTTAATAGTGATCGTGATGGTGACGGGGATGTTAATTGTGATGGGGATGGGGATGGTGATAGTAATGGTGATGGTGATGGTGATCGTAAAGGTGATGCTGATGCTGATGGGGATGGGGATGGGGATAGGATGTTAAAGGTGATGCTGATGGTGATGGGCATGGGGATGTTAAAGGTGATGGGGATGGTGATTGGATGTTAAAGGTAATGCTGATGCTGATGGTGATGGGGATTGTGATGGTGATGGTGATGGGATGTTAAAGGTGATGGTGATGGGGATTGGGATGGTAAAGGTGATGGTGATGCTGATGGGGATGGGGATGGGGATGTTAAAGGTGATGGTGATGGGGATGGGGATGGGAATGGTGATGGGATGTTAAAGGTAATGCTGATGGTGATGGGGATGTTAATGGTGATGGTGATGGGATGTTAAAGGTGATGGTGATGGGGATGGTGACGGGGATGGTGATGGTGATGGGATGTTAAAGGTAATACTGATGCTGATGCTGATGGGGATGGTGATGGTGATGGGATGTTAAAGGTGATGGGGATGGGGATGGGGATGTTAAAGGTGATGGTGATGGTGATGGGGATGGTGATGGGATGTTAAAGGTAATGGTGATGGTGATGGGGATGTTAATGGTGATGGGGATGGGATGTTAAAGGTGATGGTGATGGGGATGGTGACGGGGATGGTGATGGGATGTTAAAGGTGATGGTGATGGGAATGGTGACGGGGATGGTGATGGTGATGGGATGTTAAAGGTGATGGTGATGGGGATGGTGACGGGGATGGTGATGGTGATGGGATGTTAAAGGTGATGGTGATGGTGATGGGGATGGGGATGTTAAAGGTGATGGTGATGCTGATGGGGATGGGGATGGTGATGGGATGTTAAAGGTGATGGTGATGGTGATGGTGATGGTGATGGTGATGGTGATGGGATGTTAAAGGTGATGGTGATGCTGATGGGGGTGGTGATGGTGATGGGATGTTAAAGGTGATGGTGATGGTGATGGGGATGGGGATGTTAAAGGTGATGGGGATGGGGATGGGGATGGTGATGGGATGTAAAAGGTAATGCTGATGGTGATGGGGATGTTAATGGTGATGGTGATGGGATGTTAAAGGTGATGGTGATGGGGATGGTGATGGTGATGGGATGTTAAAGGTGATGGTGATGGGGATGGTGACAGGGATGGTGATGGTGATGGATGTTAAAGGTGATGGTGATTGGGATGGTGACGGGGATGGTGATGGTGATGGGATGTTAAAGGTGATGGTGATGGTGATGGGGATGGGGATGTTAAAGGTGATGGGGATGGGGATGGGGATGGTGATGGGATGTTAAAGGTAATGCTGATGGTGATGGGGATGTTAATGGTGATGGTGATGGGATGTTAAAGGTGATGGTGATGGGGATGGTGATGGTGATGGGATGTTAAAGGTGATGGTGATGGGGATGGTGACGGGGATGGTGATGGTGATGGGATGTTAAAGGTGATGGTGATTGGGATGGTGACGGGGATGGTGATGGTGATGGGATGTTAAAGGTGATGGTGATGCTGATGCTGATGGGGATGGTGATGGTGATGGGATGTTAAAGGTAATGCTGATGGCGATTGGGATGGTGATGGTGATGGGATGTTAAAGGTGATGGTGATGGGGATGGTGACGGGGATGGTGATGGTGATGTTAAAGGTGATGGTGATGGTGATGGGGATGTTAATGCTGATGGTGATGGGGATATTCGATACGGGTATCCAAGTTGTGTTTTGGGCCTTACGTTGATAGTGTTCCGGCGCCTGTTACAAGGCAGTACATTATACAGACATATGCAGAATGTTAGCATACATATATGTGTACACATATTGATTGTAAATTATGTGGGGAATCGAACCCGGGATTTCGGCCTGGCGAGCTAATACATTACTAAGTAGACTACCCCACCGCTCTTGGAGTGATAGAGACGGATTGTAAAGCATTAATACAGTTGGTTTCTAAAACATTAATAGAGGTGCGTTGTAAAACATAACTAGATATGGATTACAGTACAACCAGAAATTATTGAGAATTTAAAGATTGTAATTATTATTTTTTGCACTCATTACTCACGTATTAAATGTGAATATTAGCAGAACATAACTCCAGATTCAAAGACAGGTGAACAGTTAGTATTTTGTCAAGTCACCATGGGCAGCAATGCAGGCTTCAATGCGGTGGGGCATACTACTGATCAAAGAAGTTAGAAAGTCGTGGTCCATGCTGTCCCAATATCGGACCACCTCTTCTTTCATTTCAGTAATATTTGTCAGATGTTTCTCATTGACACTTTCCGTCATAAGTCCCCAAACATTTTCTATTGGATTTAGGTCAGGGCTATAGCTTGGCCAATCTAATAATGTCATATTTTGGGTCCGAAACCAGGCCTGTGAATGCTTTGAACGATGTTTTGGGTCGTTGTCCTGCTGGAAAATCCAAAATTTCCATAGAACACGTGAGCAGATGGAAGTAAATGTCCCTCGAGAATATCTGTGTACCGCTCACTGTTCATATTCCCTTCAAATACACAGAGGGGCGTTGCCCCTAACACATATATGCCACCCCACACGTTAAATTTCGGACTGTACTTTGGGCGCTGATACAAAGGTTTTTCCGTTTGTTTGGTCCAGAATTTCAGTGTATTAGGAAACAGCCACACAGAACTTTCATCTGAGAAAATTACATGGTCCCAGTTAAAATGTCTATGCTGTAAGCACCAGTTCAACCTTCGCTCCTTTTGTTCAGGTTTCATGATCGGTGATGGAATTCCTCGACTTTTCTGCCAACCCATTGCATGCAGCTCAGTTCTAATTGTCTCCTTACAGACAGCCACAGTTCCTCTATCAATCATTACCAGCCTTAAGTTTTCTAAACTCCTTCGTTTGTTTTTAGAAACAAGAATACCAAGCCGCCTCCTGTCACCGACAGTCAATTTTCTGGGCCTACCTGCTCAATGCCATATCCATTTGCAATATTTTTCAAAACACGATAAACAGTGGACAAAGGGATGCCTGTTCTACTTGAAATCACTTTAGCTGATCTGATGTCCTTGTTATAATACTCTAAAATCAACTTCCTCTTCTCTCAATCATCCATACTGAGGATCACTGAAAATGTCGTCTGCTAGCAAGTAAACAAAGGGGGATAACTCTTCATAAACTAATGAAAAAGGATTAACGGAGTTGTCTCTCTTGAATGAAACCAAGCACTTGATAGCTGGTCAAGGTTGTTTATACTAGAAATCCAATTAAACATATTCCTAAAATTCTCAATAATTTCTGGTCATACTATATACAAAATTATTAGAAGTGGATTGCAAAGCAGTGGTGGAGAGGGATTATGAAGTCATGAATAGATAGGGTTTTAAAGCATTGGTAGAGAGCAATTGGTCTGACCAGTGTTGTTGCAACTGCACGGGCTGTGACGTCATTTAAATACTACGAAGGTGAATGAGTGAATTTCGTTCAACGCCGCTACAAGTTTTGCACAAGCTTTATCATGGCTGACTGTACACAATCGATTCTGGACTAGACAAACCTGTGATTGGCACAACTAAGTTAACGCATCAGATCGCATCGTCTCCTCACCCGACAAACAACAGTGTTGGTGATTTCCAACACTAACTCGGGTCCCAACGGGAATACTTCCATCTTCTAGATGGAAGATGGTTTAGAAAATTTCAGCTTGACTTATTTTCGGCTAGTATCCCAAAATGTTAATGTGAAAAAATTAAAATCAGACTTGAGCTGTTTTTTCCTCCAATCATAGAACAGTACAATGTTAAAAAAAACCAATTTCTGTCTCAGTGAAACTAAATGCATTCTCTGAATTGATTACACAATGCCATTTAGAAAGTGGTCAAATATCATATGTTACATTCTCTGAATTAAAATAATACAAAATCTTAAAGTCCCCTACCTCCACATAATATATTTGAAACTGGACACTTTCATATTTTGTCAACCTGCCGATAGGAATGCTTGGGACAAAAGTACAAACCTCTCCTCCCCTAACACGCTAAAATATTCAACTAAAATAAACCCGTGAAGATCCGGGTTAGAATTGATCTTCAGTAACACATGCTTGTGGTAAGAGGCGACTAACGGCATCGGGCGGTCAAGCTCGCTGACTTGATTCACACATGTCATCGTATCCCAATTGCGTAGATGGATGCTCATGCTGTTGATCACTGTGTAGCCTGGTCAAGACTCGATTACTTACATACCGCTGCTATATAACTCTGGAAAATTGCTGAGTGCGGCGTAAAACTAAACTCACTCACTAATTCACTCAATCGAAATAACAGGTGGTTACATCTATCAAATCGGACATTTAGCTGCCCATCCACGTGCCACTAAATTATATTTTCAAATAAATCTGCGATTAAAATCAAAATGATAAATATACACATGTCGATTTCAAGCCTAGATAGCGGCGCAGAACATTTTCAGGAACATTTATGTCTTTGGGTTTTCTTTGCACTATAATCACGTACATCGTAAACGAACGTTCAAGCAGATGGTGGGCATGGTTACAAGAGAACGTGATTCTCTCTCAAATAGTTCCAACAATGTTGGAAAATTTCCCAGGGTCTATTCCATGTCTTAACTTAACTCGCGCATAGACGCCGAACGGGGAGCCGTTTCTTTGTCTACAATGATATATTCTGAGCAATTCTCTCACCATGACATAACGTTTTATCGAGAACGGCAAGAGATATATCTGAACACATCGTACCGGTCGCCCATTCCAAACTCAGGAATTTTGGAACCATGTCAAATATGCTTCTTGGGTTGCTCATTGCGAACATGCCTTCGTGGCGGCTGGCACAGCGACCCCCTCACGAGATCTCCTCAATTAGTCATAACTCATTAATTAAAACTGCAAATGATTTGGTTATGATATCAAACGATTGTAAACACTCTTGGAATGCCAGGAGAAGGTTGCACGAGCGTGAAGGTATTCCAAGACTATATTGGTTGTGGTCTTGACCAAATAATTCGAGTTTTTTGTGTGC